GGGGCGTCCCGGGCTCGCCCCGGCGCTGGGGGATCCGGCGCGCGGGCCCCCTAGGGTGCCCGCGAGGTCAGCAGCCCGGTCTCCGCTCTGCGGGGAGTGGGGCAAAGGTCCCTCCCGGTGAGTCCTGCCTGGAGCCGGGCACTTTCGGGCTGGCCGATCGCCTTTGTCAGAGGCTGAAGAGGTCAGCGGCCGGCTTGTCGGTGTCTCCTGCGTTGCTTCGAGGAGTGGACGCGTCTTAGGTCCGGTGGTGTGGACGAGCAGATGTGTAGTCTAGTTTTAGATACTTAAGTCCGGGTTGGTTTGCAGACTAAGGTGGGAGAGACCGGAGGAATGACTTCCCGGGCCCTGACTAGCTCAAGCTCGGTGCTCGAGGAGGGGAGCGGCCGACAGGGCCTGGGGCTGACAGCAGGGCGGGGAGTTTTTCACTATCCCGGGATCCTGCAGGAATGCCCCAACAGCTGATGAGCAAGTTTTCTGCAGCGCACCAGACCAAAACTCTTCCATCCGTCTTCCCATGTTAGCAGCGTCAGGGAGGAGCAAGAGGCCAGAAGAGTCCAGGGACTGCCCTTGGCTGGGGTTGCCAGAGAAATGGAGAGGCTGTGCTTGTTCCTCCCCCCGGGCGATTTAGGAACCCTGTCTTGCAGTTAGACACGGTTGTTGCCTGGCCCTGGCTTCCAGCCCATCAGCCTGACACCGCTGTTGCCTGAGAGTGTGTGAAAGTCTGAAGGCACCAGGTTCCACGACCTGCTCTGCATTTAGAATGTTGCCATTTGCTGTCCTGCTGTTGGGCTGTCACTCCTGCCCAGTCTTCAACACTCCTATGTTGATGACGTCGGTTACTGTTCTGTGAGGGCTTTGGGGTTGAAATCCCTTTGACACCCGGTTAGCTGTGCAGCTTCAGGCAAGTTGCTACACGACGTGTATTTTTCTTTTCAGTACAATGAGATAATGAATGGAATTTGGCAAAATTTTGTGAGAAAAAAGGAAAATAAAACTTTTGAAAGTGCTTACCATTTCCTCTGGCAGGCAGAGGGCATCCCCTACATGCTGGGGTGTCTAGTGAAACCAAGTGATGTGCGAATGGCCCTTTTATCTCTGGGTCAGCTCCACCACGGGTCCATTACCGCCAGCTCCAGGCACTGGGCTTTTTCACTGTACGGGGCATCAGCAGTCTCCGTCCAGTAGCTGCTTCTGGCCTTAAAAGATAAGAGAGAAACTACCCTGCAGCCTTTGGTCTGGGACCTCAATCAGGTCCCCTGCAGATTGCCAGTGCGGCCAGTGGCGCTGTGGCTGTCTCACGAGTGGCAGACGAGTGGCAGAGTCAAAGGAGGTCGCGGGCTGTGAGTTCTATTCTCCGGCTTAACGAAACCAGAGATGGAACATGGCTGTGTGAGCTGAAAGAAGGGGCAGAAATGAAAATGTTTGCTGAGACTTAACATTTTTCTTGTTTCTGATTTTATGTTAAGTTCAAACAACAGCAGCAGGAATTGAACCTTAAATTGCTTCGACACTCAAGTTTTGTCAGGTGGTGGTTTCAGTTAATGCGCGCTGTGCTGCTGAACATAGCTCGCGCCTCTTCCCTGGCTAGAAAAGCCAGCGTTAGCGACAGTGTTGACATTCAGACAGGGTGGTGTAGTAGGTGCTCACAGTGGGACTTTGAAACATTAGGTTCGTCACTTCTTTGCTCTCTGCACCTCCCAGGTTACCGAGAGAGTCCAGGCTCCCGCAGGCCTGTGTGCCATGTTCTTTGCCAGGAGAGGGCAAAGGGGCCTGTGCTGGAGGAGCCCAGTCAGTGCTTGCTGCTAACTCAAGGCCTTGGGGTCCAAGGGGTCGAGGCGGCAGGTCTTGACCTGAGGTTTGTGACCGAGGAGCAGAAGTCAGTCAGCGAGTGCCACATTGTGGCCCTGTGCAAGTTCGTGTGCTCCCCTTTTCCCATGGAGGATGCACAGAAGATCCCTCCGGGGGCGGGGGTCCCAGGAGATGACACCCCAGTTATTCATATCCTGGTGTAACAAAGAACACGCTTTATTTTTGGTTGCAAAAATAACGTGTTCATTGAAGACCCTCCGGAGACACTGAAAATAAAAAGAAAAGGGTACTCACTTGTAATTTCTTGTAAATGGTTAGGGACATTTAGTTCTTCTTAGTTATCTTCCCTTTTTGAAAAACACAGTGGGGTTCACACGTGTCTGTGTGTGTCCTGAGAGAGGGAAGGTGCTTCCAGGCTGCGCTGCCCGGGCGCTGTGTAGCTCTTAGTGACTGTTAGGAATAAGTAAATGCTGCTGTTATTTACCCTCAGATTTATTTACCCTCTTCCACACGCTTAAAAGCAGTCTTACATTCCTGTCTGTAGGGATCACTTGTGTTTCTTTCATGGAGAGCAGTGTCTGGGGTGAATGACGACCAGTCTGTTGTTGGATGTTGAGACAGCATGAAAATATGCTCGGCTGCGCAGTAGGCAGGAGTCTAGAGTAACAGTGCACTCTCGGGGCCTTGGCAATGTTGACGGTTAGAGAGAACAAGGAAGTGGGGTGTTGGGCAGGGGGTGTGTGCTGTGCCCTGGGTGGGAACATGAAGAGCCCAGCGCTTTGGAGGAGTAACTGACGCACAGTACCTGTTAGGCTGCAGGTGGACCTGAGCCTTGCCGGTCCGGGAGGTGCTGTGGGCAGGCTTCCAGCGCGGAGTAAGTGCTGAGGCGGGGTGGGCCCTGCGGCCTCGGTTGCACCTGCCAGCTCAGGTTTTGGGTGAAAGCCCATCAGGACAATACAGGACCACGCGTGACTGAGTCCCAAGAAAGCTTTCTTCGCAAAAGCAGCAGTTGGACTGGGTTGGGCCTGAAGGCCATAGGCGCCACTCCGTGGTGGAGAGAGAGCTGCGCCTGTGAATCAGGAGGCGTGAGAGGACCAGCCGCTTGGCTGTAGCAATAGACCGGAGGAGCAGTGAGTGGCTCGGGTCCTCTGGTGGAAATGTCACTTTCAGCTAAATGTAACTTCAGTCAAAAAGTAACTTTCTTCAAAAAGTTGTAAGAAAGTAATTCTGGCCTAATGTGACTCCTCCCAGGTAGTTGTACAGTGTAGCTTGCTGGCCTCGCCTTCCAGGAACCGCGTGCAGACCCAGCTCCTGCTTGGGAGCATGAGACTTGGCTAAGCTGCTTACCTCCCTGTAAAATACAAGTTGTTTTTTTTTTTTTTTTTTTTTAAAGATTTATTTATTTATTCATACAGAACTGGGGTACAGGCCAGAGATGCGGAGGGTGAGAGGATTCACCAG